TAATCAATCATTAAGAAAGTAAAAGCGTAAACAGGTAAATTTGAAAGCGAAAGATATTTTTTCCAATTGAATTTGTTCGTTCAATTTTAATATACAACGCATGCTGGGAGCGCATGGAACTAAGCAAGAGCTATGCGCAGGAGGAAAAAAAAGCACGAGGTAACTATAATAGCTCACTCATACGCTAGCTCGCGGCAGAGAAACGAAGGGAGGAGGAGTATAGAGAGAAAGAGAAGGGAGAGAGGGCGAAAGAGTAGATGTAAAAGTAAGCAGGCCATGAGTTATACACACGCAGTACATATAGCGGTGGCGGCGTCGAGGGCGCGAGGACGCTTACTGCGAGCTATGGAGCGGGCGCTGCGCTACTATTGCGAGAGCGAACGAGCGAGGAAGGCTCCATCAGGCCGAGATATTGAATTGCGCTAGCGTGAGCGAGTACACATAGTCGGGGCGCAATTTAAGGCTCGGATAAAGTTACGCGAGCGCGCGTAAACTCGAATACGGGATTGCGACGCGCTGATGTGCACTCTGCGAGCGAGCGAGCGAGCGAACGAGCGCCAGGGCTAATACTGCCTTTACCCTATGTACTGCCACTGTATAGCTGCGTTCGAGCAGCGCGACAATTGTTACGTACGCGCGCCAAGCCATACTTTGCAATTGAAGGCAGCTACGATGCGCACTGCCGGATGCTAGCTTTACGAGGACGCGTGCGCCTATAATTCGAATTATACCAGCCAGATAACGATGCCAATTTCCGATCTTTCGTGAAAAAACGAGCCAAGGCGTGTCGACGGGAAAAATGTTTTTGTGTGTAACAAGCGAGCAGCTCGAGTCGGGCAGAAGGCCGTTTATTGGCTTGCCTTTACATCCAAGCCTTCGACCGAGCAGCTCTGACACCTACGTCCATCCTTCTCTCTTTTGCTCACGATCCAGTATCCTCTTTGGTCCAATAGATATATTAAATAAGCTGTTAAAGCATGCCACCATTATTTGCAGTTTTATGTATAAGTATCAACGTGTACGTGCGTCTCTCTTTGCAGGTGTTTTTAAATCCCATCGCATGTATTTAACTATACTTTATGCTCAACCGATTAACGCTTACACCCTTTCTAGACCTTGCTATTTTTACGAGGCCGCTCGCGGCTTCTTTTTTTCCGTATACATGTGCTGCTCTGCTGCTGCTGCTGCTGCCCTACACTGACACGAGTTGCACCGCGTAAATTCAAACATGCACTCGAAAACCGGTGTGCGCGTGGCAAGTACCTGTGCGACTGACTTACACGTGTGTGTGTCTGTGTGCGTCGAACAATCTCAAAGACAAGATCGCAATTGCCAGGAGTCACGCCAACCCGCTAATGCCACTTGAGAGAGAGAGAAAGAGAGAGAGAGAGAGAGAAAGAGAGAAAACTCACCTCTTTGAACCACATAAGGGCTTCTTTATACAACGTAATCGCTGTATTATAGAGCCTATATATGGCTATCGTACGGCTACTAACAATTTCTGATTTTAGCATTTGATAAGGAAGAATGAGAAGCCCTCAAATATCATATCTTCGAGTGAGCGGCTATATACTCATTATTTTCGTCAATTTTATATGTTAACTTTGAACGCCCTTAGCACAATTGTTTCGATATGAGTGATGTTGATTAGCGAGTAGTCAAAAAATTTTCTACCTGCGTTTAAAGGGTTGAGTCCAATTTTCATCATTTGGCGGCTATATATCGGCGGAAAAAAATAGACATTCGATCGAATTCGGCTTGGAACGAATATCGGCAAAAAACATGAATAGAGCCCCATTTCAAAGCTGAAAAGCAAGCATAAAAGCGAAGTTGGTGAAATTGGGAAATTTCGAGTCTAAATACCCGAAACAATGGTCATGAGCAAAAATCTCGAATTCGTTGTTTACTTTTCGATATTCTTTTGAAGTGAACAATTTTTTTCATTTTACATCCAACTGTTACTAACACTACGAAAGTTTATAATTTATTTGAGTTGGTAAATTTTTACTTGTCTACTGTCACTATGGTCATAAGACTATATATAGCCTTTTTTAATTCGCAAATGTTATAGATTCATTAATAAACGGTGGAAATTCGGCTAGTGCACTCAGGAGCCGCTTCAAACGCATAAAGTAGCATTTAATGTACAAATACACAACGAGTCAGAATTAGTGTAAACAAGGCGCACGGCAAAAGTGTCTTATCTTGACTTGATTGGTTGATCATAATGCGTGCATTTCTCGTGTGCAGACATATATTAAGTACCTGCGGCAGCGCGTATTTCTCCTCGCTTTGTGTTATTCATCCTCGCGCACACGAAAGTAACAAAGTCTCTTTATCATGTTTCTCTCGGCACGTCTATCTCTCTTTCTAGTCCTGACATACATCCCACATGCGCATGCCCCTACAGCGGCGCGTTTTCCTAGTTGAATAGTAAATTAGATTTGTGGCGAATACGCACACATCTTCGCTTTCTCTCTCTATCTCTCCCTCTCTCTCCTTTTATATATGTGCACTTGAAACATACGATACGATATAAAGCTTAAGTGAGCTCTTTGACGTGAATAAATACAGGTATATGATCAGAGGCCAGCAACGCGGCACTGGACTTTATAAGCGGCCTAACAAAAGTTGCAATTAAGCAATTCAAATGCGTTACAGTGAGTGCAGTTGAAGTATGGCTTATCCGACTGTTAAATTTCCGCCGCCACTGGGCGCGTACGCCTGTGCGAATCAAGCTTATGTGTGACACGCTATTTTTGAAGAGTCACGCGCATGCATGAACACACACGGACACGTAACGCAGCCCGCGTCGTCACACACTCTCGGCAATCCTCTCGTGGGCATGGAAAAGTACTGCGAATGATCTAATTTCCCCATATGTGTATATGCGAGCCTCATTGCCAACGAGCTTGTTTGTACTCGACTGCATTCACACGTAAGAGTCAAAGCTGCGAAGAGAGAGAGAAGGAGAAACAGAGAAACAGAGTTCGAGCTAGCGAGCTCGCAAAGTCAGTTGTTGTTGTTGTTGCTCTGCAGTTGTTATTCTTAACAATAACTCGTGTTCGTTGTCCACGATCATTAGTAGCTTCAGAAATTATTCTTTGTTTGCGACGTCAAACTTTAGAGTGCACGTTAAAAAAACGTGACTGATTATATCTTAGATTATGTATGTGTGCAAGTGGTCATCATAAAAAGAGTAACGATTAATTCTACGAATGGAAAAAATGTAATTTTCACAACTTGTATTTAAATGAAACGGCTTGAGCAATTAAAAATCTTATTTTTCGCTAATTTTTTTTATTTTTTGATACGAGAGCGTGGTTGTTTTATATGTTAATAAATTTCAGAATTTATTATTAAAAAATGGTCACTCAAAAATGTATTCAAAAAAATTTTTCAACAAAGAATACCAATCATAGAGTGAAACTTTAAATATTTCATTACGTTTTATAAATAAATTTTTATAATATTTTTGAAAACTATATAAAACAGAAAGAAAATAATCTAAGCGCTATGTAATTTTATGTTTCGGCTTTAAAAATGTTTATATGCTTTTTTATTGATTACTTTTAATAATTACGTAAACACACGTAAACTAAGAATGATTGACCATATAATAAGAAACCAAATTGTTCAAAATTACATATTTTGAATAGTAGTCAGATTGAAACTATAACATTTTTTATATAGAAAGAGATATTTCATGAAATTTTACTTCTTTATCATCCGATTAGGTACAATTGTTAGGCCGCGTTTGCGTCTTATTACGCAGTATTTATTACATCTTATCAATATATACTGTTCAAAGTGCTGGAGTTCTGCATGCAGCGCTGCACTCAAGTATGTTTCAACTCTCTCCCTTTCTATATAGACCGTGTAGATTATGCGATACGTGTAGAATATTGAGAGGATCTGCTGGATAACGGAAACGAGCGAGCGGATTGACCGATATTGCTCGGATAGACAAGAAACGAGAAGCAGCTTCCCATATACGTACGCTAGAAGCTCTTCCCGCTTTACCATGTATCTTTTTGTCTTCTTATCTCATACTACTTCTAGCACTTGACCGTAAAACTTCAAATTATCGCCAGTATATGTTAATGGGAACTTAAAAAAGCGTCTACGTTTATTATCGTGACACAGTAAAAGTTGGACTCAAACAAGGATTTTCATTTATTAGCAGCTCAGATGAAACTTTTAATAGTGCTCATAAATTCTAAGTTCAATAATAAAATTCACTTTCCAAAAAAATGTATTGAATACTAAAATCCTTTGCATTGCACCTGTTTACTACTTATATACCTTTATACTATATACGTGAGATTGAACTACGCAAACCTCTTTGAAAATAATATCATTTTTTCATATTCTCTTGCTTAAGGAATATCTGTTTTCATTGCTAGTTGTGAATGAATGGAAACATGTGGAAGTATTTATTTTTCCTCTTTAGCGTGCTCAACGTTCTACTTTGTATATCCATATATATACTCAAAGCCGATACTAAAATGAACGCGAGTGCTTCCAAGTCATTATTGATTTCACCTCGTTTAAAGAGTCACGGGGATTTAATATCATATACTTTAAAAGTTTTCTAAACACGTGTATTCCTCACTAGTTTGGTAAATATTTTACTCTCATCTTGTAATTCTGCATAATGTGTGGACATTTAACTTAATATGAGCATAGCTATTCAATCAAAACAATATTTAAAGCGTCCACAAGGTTTCCCTAAGGGATTAAACGCAGGAAGAGTATGAACACAATAAAAACTTTGAGTAAGCAACTATTTAACTAGACGTTATATTACAATTTCTATTAACTTTTGTTCAAAAATTAATGAAATTGATTAAATAAAATATAGGGTTTTTCGTCCATTTTTTTTCGAAGATTCAACGAAAAAAAATGAAGCAGCTTATAATAACGCGTCTGGATGAATGAGAGAAACTCGTTAAAAAATGATAATGAATAAGTATAAATAGTGAAAAAAAAGTACTCACCAGAACGTAAACTGCAAAGGGCATTACGACCGTTGCGACGAACAGGTCGGCCACAGCAAGACTGACAATGAAATAATTGGTAACGGTCTGCAAAGTTCTCTCTCTCTTGACCGCGAGTATCACAAGCACATTACCGAAAACAGTAAGGAAAGGCACGACGAGAAATATCAGCGCCCACAAGTTTTTAGCCTCGTCGGCCTTCGGACTAGCTGCGGTTTCGCACTCGACGCTGTAGTTGCCGTTGAGAGTGTCGTTGATGGCCACGACGCAGCTGAAGTTACCGTAACTCGAGTTGAAGTTGGTCGCATCGTAGCTGAAGTTCGTCAGCGCACTGTAGTTCAACTTGTTGATGTAGTCGTTGACGTCGTGAAAGACGAACCTCGCGAGATCGGAGCCTGCGGACTCGTCGCTGCCGTTGCCGAGTTGACCGTCCGCAGCCTCGTCGCTCAGCCAAGCTTTCTCGATGCCGGCCCAGCTGCTATTGCCGCTCTCCGGTGACGAGGTCGACGAGCCGAGCGAGTAGTCATCGAAAGTGTCCGAGCCGTTTCCGATTGTACTGACGAATGCGGCACTCTTTGCAGCCAACGTTGCGTTTCGCAAGAGGGTCTTAGGCGTGGTCGACGTGTTACCGACACTCAGGCCACTCTCCATTATAGCTGATACGAGACCTACCGCGCGCGGCAAATTCCAGTCTAGCGTATGTGTGCCAGGAGCAGTGCTTATTAGACGAGCGGATCGATCGATGGCATCTCCTTTGCATCGCGTCCTTTCTCCCGAGCCATTTCAAAAGTGCAGCGATTTTTTCTTATCGACATGTCTCCCAGTTGATTGTGTGGGCCTTTTAACATTTTTTCCATTTCCTGGCTAAAAAGCCGCAATTCTTTTTTTCACTAATTTTACAGCATCCAAGTCTGCAGTATCGTCTTTTTCGCAGCTTTCTAGACTAGACTGATGCTTATCGCGTTCCTTACGTCCCTCGTCGTCTCTCTCATGATCAGAAGTGCCGCTACACTCGGAACTCGCTGCCTCGAATCCGATGGATTAATGCCTTGTCGACAGGGTACGTGTCTAGAGCCATCCACGGCTCTTATTGATCTCCCTGCAATACAATGTGAGAAATGAGATTGACGAGTTCTAAATTCAGGCAACTGCTAATACGATTTTATTATTTTGATTTGACGAGATCCGTAGTTTTTTGCCTCGTTGCAATCGGCGTCGATTCAAAATTTTATCTCGTAAAAAATACATAAATTCAAAATCAACCCGATAGTAGCGAGTTGTGCATATAAGATCTTTACTTTGATATAGTGAAACTTGAGTCAACAAAACTCTAAAACGTTTATTCTTTGAACTTTTTACATTAGAATTTATGGCAAAAACTTTGCATGATTTCAGCGTCGAAAAAATATTAAATTTTAAATACTACTTTTTTTGTTGTATATGGTAGAAACCGAAACTTGTTTAAAGTTCATTTGTGCATACAACTTTCTATTTGCGGATAACGCTTAATAAACTTTTATCAATTTTTTTGAATAATTTTTTTAAATCAATTTAAAATACTATTTTTTCTTATTAATAAGGATAATTGAATCTATTAGTTAATCTTATTTAAAAACACAATCAATCTTTTATCTAAAAAGTTTATCCACTCAAAATTTATATTATTTTTAGCAGTGGTTAAATACCTTATTAACCTAAAATAAAATGATATAATGGAATAATCGAATCACATTCATTTCTGACAAAAATTGATGATTATCAGCTGATTGATCATCGTAATATGAATAAAGTATAATCGATTGATTCAATTCACAACCGACGACTGGAATGCACTGCAAGTAGAATTGATTTTCTCGAGTAATTCATAAAATTCGACAGTGCAACTTTCGTAAAACATTAATATCTCTTTGCCTTACCTTAGGCATCAGTTCTAGATTAGGAACTCTCAAACTACAGAAAAGCAACTTTTTTATAAGCTTTATTCACAGCTCACGACGCACATGATTAAATCTGACTTACCAGTACAATATAGACACACCTAAAACTTGGAAGATAAGGAAAAAACTAAGGCAAGTAAAAAAAAATAGAAAAAAAAATTTATTACACTGTATAAATAAAAGAAGATTGCTTCCCAACCATCAAGCCTTTTGCATGCTACATATTCACGTATACATGGCTTACATTTAACGGCTAAGGTAAAAAAAAAAACTAGAATAATATTTTCATTTTGATCATATTTCACTATAAAAATTGTAATAAATGATTATGAGATTTGTTTGTCTGTTCACTTTTCTTCAAACTCAAACTTAATAGAAATATTTAAGGAATCTTAAAGCATGTAAAAATTATTAATTATTTTTATAACAATTTTTATATAATAGTCAATTTTAATTGTTGAGTACTAGATGTTCAAATATTTTTTAATGCCTCCACCATAACGTTTTATATGTTAACCTAGATTTACATGATCTTTTTTATGATTTATAGATTTTATCGACAAAACGATAACTTATCTTTTACAACTGAAATTACCATATAATACATTAATCGACTTTGGAAATTTATGAAGCTATGTAAAATAACACCCAAAAATTTGTAATATTTATAATTTTTATAATTTGAACAATCGTTTCAATTAATCGAAACTAAAAAATTCAACACGACCAACAATATTATTTGATTATTAAATGGATTTTCCTCACTATGCATTGAATTCTAACATATGTATAGTTCTTTTTTTGCCCAATCGTACTCAAGAAATTGCCAATGAAGTAATTCTAACAGTAATTTTTACGATAAAAGATTGATTGTCTTTTTAATTATCATTTTAAATTAATTGTTCGATTTTTAACCGATAGCATGCAGTTAAAAATTAATAGTTACGTTAGCTTGACATAGTTAATGAGGTTTAAGGAAAGAATTTATTAAAACGCAGAGTGCCAATTGGTATTTTGCCCTTTAAATTGAATATGATATCGATTTTGAATCCTGTCAACTGGTTTTTGTAGTTCTTTTTTTAGTGCTCCAAAAAAATGAATGATACATTTTGAGATGATTGACGTAATTTTTACTTTATTAAATGATTTTTCATTTTAAATTAATTTACGTTTACCTGCAGAACTCTTTTAACTCAAATTGAAAACCAAACCAACGGGAAAAAAATATTAACTCCTTTAGTGTTTGCAAGATTCTCTATTTTGTAGTATATGCGCTGAGAGTGTATATAAGAATGATATGCTTAATGCCGGCAAATTCTCCCCGTATGTAAAAATATGCGTTAGTGGATCTTCAAGTAGTTCGCACTCGAAATAATTATACTGAAATTCCAAATATTCGGAAACTTTACAACTTTCATATTGGTAGCCTCATAAAAATAAGCGTAAAAATGTTAGTGAACAAAACATTATGTAGAGAAATGTTGAAATATGAAAGTGAATACAGTAAGCGATGAGAAAGGATTTTCTTCTACGTAGGTGTTAAAGTCTACATTTACTGATCGTCTTATGTAGATGTATAAAATTATACGAATACGTAATTATATGAATCGTTCAAATTCAGTTGACTAAACATGAAATAACTACTCGTATAAAACCTCTTACTCTGTCTGTGTAAAAATAAATTTGAAAATTTCATCGTTTCAAAATATAATATTCAGTGTTCATGAAAATATTCCAAAATATTCAGAAATAATTAAATTGATTTTTTTCAACATAACTTAACTTCTTGATTAATTAATTTTTTAAACATTTTCATTGTTTTTAAACATACTTTATTTTGAAATTTTAACATTGTTCGGACTATTTTAAAATTTATTTTGTTGAAAATGATTTCATACTGTAGATTTCATTTCGGTCATTTGATCTAGTCTTCTATGAAATTATCAAGTTAACATGAATTATGAATGAAAAAATTCATTTTTAATAAAGTCTATTTCACTATTTTAAATATTGCAAAATTATTGAATAAATGATGAAGATGAAAAATTGTTTCCTCTATATAAAAGTTCAAAGTGTGTAAGAAGCCACGAAATTTACATGTACTTACACGATCTTAAAATTTTCGATTAAAAATTTGTGAAATTTTTACTTGTATAATTTTGCTTTCATTTAATAGCATTTTTAACTGTTAGGGCTGTGCGAGTACCCGAAAAGACTCGAGTACTCGACTCTAACTCGACGAGTCGAGCTTTTTCGAGTACTCGCACAGCCCTATTAACGATTCGATTTACAACTAGTACATCTCACAACAATTTCTATCGTTGAAACGAAATAATTTTTTTTCAACTTAAATGGTGAAAGATAAGTAAAAAAAGGCGTTATTGAGAAGAAAAAAGTACATATGCTTCAATAACTAACGAAGCAAACGTAAAATTTTTATTTTCTTTGTAGCGAAGCGAAAACTTATTAGTTATCATAGCGTAGACAGTAGGTACAGACCATGCGCGCGCGAGTCAGTGCAGCTACGTAGCAGCGTTGTGCAGCATCGGCGACAAAGACCCGATAATGCGACACTTAATTGAAACGCAGGGCGCTGGAAAAATAGCATTATACTCACTCTCTATGGGCAAGAAGGATCAAAGCGCAGGCGGCCGTTGGTGTAGCTGCGCTTCGCTATCTTGAAAGCGGCGCGCTTCCTCGCACTCGAGCCGAGCAGGAGAGTGAGAGAGTCGAAACGAGAGTATAGAGAGTTGAAGAGAAGAAGAGAGAGAGAGAGAGAGAGAGAGAGAGAGAGTGAAAGAGGGCTACATGCACACACCCACCCACGCACACATAATGCGCGTGTCGTCGCCCTCGTAGTCGTCTTTTCTTCTCTCTTAATCGAAGCGTTTCGCACTAATTTTACACTCTCTTGACGCTCTTCGATCGATCCATCACCGGCACTATGAAAGATATGGAGTTAAAGGCCCCGTTTCACCTGAAAAACTCGTGCCGCTATGGCCGTTGCAGTCATTACATCTGCATTCGCCACATTCAGCACTCTCTCTTTCACTGGCACTGTATATTCGTTCGTGAGCATCAATGGCACATAATCAGTTACAATCGCACACTGATAGGAAAATTACTCCTGTCCGTAACAGCAATTGATTTGAGCGCTTTTTTCTTTCCTACAGCATTCTTCATTACATACGTCATTGTACATATCATCGGCGCACTTCCGCTAAGCGCACTATCTTACTTATGCAGTTCGTTCATGAATTCACCAGTTGAGTGCTTGAGTACTGTTAAGCGTTACAGTTTTTGTTTACAGTGATTGCGTTTCAGATTTCACTATAAAGCTCGTAGATGAGATGCTACAACCAGAACATTTTTTCTTTGTCCTCAAGCACGAAGATGTCTTAGATCTTACCATGTTTACAGTGGAAACTTGTTCGATCAGTAACTGACACTTTTGTAAATATTTTCTTTCACCTAGATTGATCGAATTAATTTCGAGATACTCTTCATAAACACTCTTAACTTGTTTAATCAGTTAAATTTTAATTAATTTGATCCTTAATTATACATTTCCAATTATTTCTTTTTCAAATCTCACTCAATTTCCAATTTCCTAATCAACTTCATTAAAATTTAACTTTTTCATTCACAGTGTCTAGTCATGTTTATTAAATATTATCTTGGTATTGACTAGCTAATTTTTTTGACCAGAAAGTCATTTCAAAATGATTCATTACGGTATTATTGAAAAATGTTTATCCTTCAAAACTAATACTTTGCATTTCTTTGATATGTGAATTTACTCCTCAAATTTCATTCAACACTAGTTAATTTAAACTCTTGAATTTCGAAGTCAAGCACGTGTCTAGTAAGAAACTTCGTAAACAAGAGATTGGACTATCACGGACTTTGAGATTAGCATAGTTAACTTCAAGATACACGAGTCCTCGTCAAAAAAACTTCATTTTTATAATTTGAGCAATTACAATTATTTTTAAACTAAATAATAATTGCTTGATCAATTAAAAATAAAAATGTATAGGATTAGAGACTTGCTTATAAAATAATCGTAAAAAGTTAACCTTGTTTCAATTGGTTTTTAAAAGAGTTTGACGCTAATCGTATAAATTGACCGGCAATAATACACGAAGGGACTGAATGTATCAATCAGTCAGCGTAACTCGCTCGTCGGTGAACGAACGACGACTGAAAGACTGAAACTTCCGTATACACTCTGTGCTTACTCCGATCCTCACACGCAGCCGAGAGAGGGAGCGCGAGGATGGAAAGAGAGAGAGAGAGAGAGAGAGAGAGAGAGAGAGAGAAGAGGGGTTGCTACCACTGCTGCTATAAAACCCATACGTGAAGAGGTCTTCTAAAGCCTATGCCCTGTTCAGCGATATTCTCCTGATACTCTGTAGCTGCTCACAGCATCTCACCTTTATTTCTGTCAATCAACGTGCTTATACCGACTTAGTGGGTTACGGGGTTAGTGAAACACTTTAGTTATGAGGAAAACGAATACAAATTAGCTATTTTCACAGGAAAAATCAGTCAATGCAAGATAAGTGAGAAGTACATTGTTGCAAACAAATTGTTTAAATTCATATAAATGATAAAATTGTAAATTATAGACAACAGGTAAACAAAAATACGTCGGTGTTTGGAATGAATAAATGTATGAGAAACTAGCTAACTCATTTTCATGTCCGACTGAAATTTGACATATACTACTTGGTTTTGAAACATTAACACTTTGATGCAAATATTTTTACTTACACAAGATTTATGCCGTGAATATTGCGCTAAATAAATTATGTTTTAATACTTTTCTCACCAAAAGATGTACACTCGTACCAGTGGCATACTTTTTTATGGCAAGAAGTGGTGAAATGCATTACATGAGGAATACGTATATAAGGCTAGTGATAGACGACTTAAGAAGCGTAAAAACAGAGAATGCCGACGAAGAGGAGCCAATTACAAGAACCAAAGAGGAAGACGTTAAAGGAGTAAAAGGGTGAAGAGATGAGAGAGTGTAAGAATGAGGGAGGGAGAGAGAGAGAGAGAGAGAAAGAGGAAGTGGGCTCGCGCCAGCGCTCGAGATGAGCTCAGACGGTAAAAGGCCGCAAGTATAAGAAGGATATAGAGGGAGAAGAATAGTAGGCAGTACTGCAGCTTTTACGTATAGGCTCGGTGGCATACAAACTCATAACCGTTAAATAACCCAGCTAGGTGCTTCCATTGAATTACCCGCACCAGGGGTTGCTACTGCGCTATTGACCCATCCACTTTATGCTATCATTGCATGGAGCTGTGTAGGGTCACCGACGCCTGAAGATGAGACTTGTTGATTTTCGATAATATCGACAGACGCTAGTGCATGCGCCTGTTGTAAAATAAAATCACTATTTATCGAGCTACCAGTTTCAGCAATTGCCGGAGTGCCGATGCTAGGCTCTACCAGCCGAATAGAATAGGCTTACCAGCTACTTTATACTTCCGCTGTTCTCTTTATTCCTGATCAATGAAAAACCTTCTCTATTATTCATTTCGTGTTTATTTACGTTGCGCGCTCGCGCAGAGTTGCGATGCTAAAGCTTGCATGAATATTTAATGAGAACAAGGAAAATATTTTTTATTGGATTTTTCCACTCGTCTGATTTGATCAGCTAATTAAAAAATTATAACAAATAAGCCAACATCAATAATGCCCACGTAAAATAAGTATATTCTATACAGTATTCCAATGCATAATTAAAACGATTAATACATGCGGGTTTTGAATTTTTCTGGAAACTCATTGACATCGCCATAGCTCTTATCGTAAAATTTTCAGGGCATTTCATGCATAAACTTAACAATATTTCATATTCAATAGCCTGCTAAAGTCGATTTGTTTTTGATTGAAACAAAAAAATTTACTGTGCTTGCCTAATATACCTACTTCGTGTATCATCCGGAAAAGTCTATACACTTTTTAATTAATTTGCATCGATGACGTGAACAGACCGAACGTTAAAGTTTCTCTGGCAGACTTGGCACGAAGCCGAATAGGACATCGATGGTGCTAAATATTTCTGCTTCATGGAACAACAATTTTGTCGCTATCGATTAATTCTTACATTAAATTAGAAATGATATAATATACTCATTATTATAATATGGCGACTATTTATACGCACAGGGTTGATAAATATAATTGTGCTTATTAGAAAGTTTCTATAAGTTAAGGAGATATCGAAGTCATACTAAAATGAATAGTTAAATAGATGTTATATAAAAAAATAATAATAAATGAATTGAAAAAATCCATATTTGAAATAGTATATTTTGCACTTAAGGAGTGAAAAACTGGAAAGTCTCAGAGCACGTGTGATTTATCAGCCGAAGCGAAGCCGAGGCTGATAATCAGGTGCTCTGAGACTTTTTTTTTCATACCAACAGCCCGAAAGTGACTACTTCCCTGCCGCTGCGCAAAGCGGGAAAAGCGATTTTCGGGCCACTGTGTATGAAAAATAGTATACAGGCCTATGCCGTGGAAAACAGAAAAGTCCCAGAGTACGTGTAATTAGTGGCCGAGGCGAAGCCGTGCTCTGGGGCTTTCTTTTTTTGCCTAGGGCTGTAATATACTATTTTTCGCTACATAGGTGCAAATACAATTTTTTGTGAATCCCCCAGCCTAAAGTAACATATTGGTTTTACTCAGCCAGAGTAAAATGTTACTTTAGGTTGGAGTAGCACAAAAAAAAATGTTCAGTAAAGCCACAAAAAACTTATTACAAAATATTCATAATAGTCAGATATTTCTTTAAGGGGACCGACCTGTGTTAAAAGCTTAAATTCAGCTTCAGCTAAAAATAGCTATATGAATCGAAATAGTGTAAATTTTTTTTTGTGATAGTAAAATATGTTCATTCTACACCAGATTGACAAAAAAAAAATTCTACCCAAACTCTGAAATACCAATTACATCACTTTTTTCATAAGACGAAATTTTGTGTTATGAATCACTTGCCACATGATCTTGAAAAGAGTTTTTCATCAATATTGATCTATAGGGTCTCAAAATCTTCAGAAAAGTACCCTTATCCACCAAAGTGGAGCAAAATTTTGAAAAATTGCGTACAACTTAATATACAAGTCAAAATGTGCCAATTTTTAAGAAAATTAGTATTTTATCAATACTAGAAGCCATATTTAAGCTCTTGGAAGAGAAACAAACTTTTTTTTTTCAAATTTTGCTCCGCTTAAGTGGATGAGGGTACTTTTCTGAAGATTTTGAGACCCCATACATAGATCAATATTGATGAAGAGCTCACGTCAGAATCGCGTGGCAAGTGAATCCTATTATAATATTTAGTATCATGAAAAAATAGGCGTAATTGGCATTTCAGAGCTTGGGAAGAAGTTTTTTTTGGTCAATCAGGTCTCTAATGAACATATTTTACTTTCACAAAAAAAAATTCCACTATTTCGATTTATATGGCCATTTTCATACATCTGGTCGAAACACCATCTTGTTTTCTTAAGAAATTTGGTTCATTTTTTGATGAATGTAACAACTAACATAATATTGCATAGATTGGAATCTATCCTCAACCTCGGTATTGATAAATGAAAATTCGGGTTTGTACTCTTCATTCATGACTTTAACATGATAATTTACTAGAAGGGTTGCGAGTAATTGTACTCAGCAAGCAAATTCTTGTATATAATTCATTTAAATCTACAATTTCAACTTCACCTTGTAAAATTTTGTGAATAATTACATAAAATATCGATTTCTTAACAAGATCATTAAAATATTTATATGGTTATCAACTTTACTAACAAATTATGAAATGAGTATTATTACATGGATAAGTCGAACAGTGATTAATATTTACAAAAATAATGAAATTGGAGCAAAAATTTTATTATGCATAACGAAACTATCGGAAGCTATATGGTATAAGCGTTAGGGTATAAATGTTTCCGTTACACGATTTATCATAAAAAATAAGCAACTTATTTTATAATTTACATTTTCTTCATTTTTACAGTACTAACTTTTGGTGTAATTAAAATAAATCTATGAATTTTAACTTTTCAATATGATTAATAAAATCTTTTATTTTTAGATGGAACTTTGTTTTGCTAATATTTTAATTAATTTAAGTACTAACGTTAATTTTATTTTTTCATAAAAACTGTTTTATGCACTTAAATTTAGTAGCTTCATAAGAATGTACTATAACAGTTTTTTTATATGATTGTCTAAATATTTATACTATGTTCTTTCCTCTTAAGTAAAAGTCTTTACTTCTAGAAGAAATCTTCACTAGCCCGGGGGAACATTAATTCGTTGCCTTAATGTGCACACTTAAGTCTACACGCGCAGACAATCGCTAATCTCGACTTGAAATATACACCACCTTCTTAATCCAAAAGCCTTATTTAAACTGCAAACCGCAAACCTCTTTTATTATACATCTCGCGACGCACGCAAGATTAGCTTAGATACAATGCCACGACGTTTAAAAACGGTTCAAAAAATATTTTTGAAGGACTTATAATTTCTCTGGTACTTTTAGCTGGCAAAAATTTTAAAATTTCATTTTAATAGAAAATTATTCTGGTATTAAAATGCATTCGAATTGAAATTGCCTTACAATCAAATTCATGTGTGCACATTTATTCTTTAGAAGTAAAGTAAAGTAAAGTAAAGAAATACTATTGAGTTTATTTTAATTCATTTATTTAAATCTTTATTATAATTTTAATTATTGGGACCAGTAAGCAACATTAACCGATAAGGTACTTCAAAAGAGGTACGTGCATCTTTCAGAATTATGGCAGTGTACAAATTGGTTAAGTTTCAGCTTCCCATCAAGAGCTTTTATTATACTCACGAATGAATGAGCTTATAACGAACACTGAATTTTAATCCCATACTTTCTTTTTTACTTATTTCCATATTTAGTCTAAGCTCTGTGAGGAAGTGTCAGTAAAAGATTACGTTTTATCAATGGAATAGAAATAAAAATGCAAATGTAATCAACTCTACTTTCGACGAATGAATGCACACCTGGCACTATCGTAAGGCTTCCTTAATCTCGAGTCAAACCTTAACAAAGATGGAAATGAAGGGGCTAATGCTTCCAGATTCTTTCTCTCTCTCTTTT